GGTTACTGAGCTCTGCAGTCTCCTTTCTTACTTAGGTTCGACTATAATCATAGCTCATGTTCTTTGTAGGACACGGGCATGTGCAGAACTGTGTGAGAGTCCTGGAGCATCCCCAGTACAAGGGACCCTCCCCACCACCAGCCACCACTCTGGCCTCAAGATAAAGATCATTGTAGTCCTTTCCTGTGTATGCATGTGTATGTGTGTGAATCTTACCTCCAACCACATTGTTTATGTCTTCTTCACTTTCAGCTGTGTTTTTTTTTTTCTTATTGATTTGTTAGAGCACCTACAGATTAAGGATATCACTTTATTGCCAGATGTTAAAAATACTTGATTCTATCATGTCAATTATGTTTTGATAGTCTGTATGCCTTATCCTTTTCTCTCTCCTCCCCCCATCCCTCCCCCCCACCTCTCTCTCTCTCTATTTCTCTCTGAGTCAGAATTTTGTTATGTTTCCCCAAGCTGGCCTCAAACTCCTGGGCTCAAGCGATTCTCTTTCCTCAGTCTTCTWAGTAACTGGGACTAAAGACTTATACCACTGTACTTGACTTTCTTCTGCTTTCTGCTGTGGAAAATTACAAAGGCACAGAAGTAGAAAGAGGAGTGCAGTGGGTCCCACATGCCCCACACCAGCCTCCACTGTGCTGAAGTCACAGTCTAAAAGTAAATCCAATGCTTGTTATTCCAGCTAAAATGCTTACTGCATGTGTTGTTCTTAGAGGTGTCACTTCCTAAAAAATGACCATACTATTTGGTGCTTTTTTTTTTTTAACGTATAGAAATGTTTTATTCTAAGTCCTGCTGGTTCCTCTTTCCTTAGCAGTTTCTGCCATTGCTTAGAGACTGAGAACAGCCTTCCCCTAGCACTGCCAGGCACCCCATGGTCTGCACTGACTGGCCAAAGACCTTGTAGTCCTGGCCTCTGGCAAGAGTGGACTCTGCCCAGTGTGAACCCTTTACCCAAGTCTGCACTTCTTTGCCTTATTCCCAGATTGGGCACAGTGCCTATCCTTGGGGGTTGACCAGAAATTATCCCTGAAGCTTCGGGCACCATATGATCCCAATAGGGGCAATGGGATAATGATGGGTCCCCAGAAGGCCTGGCCAATAAATTAGGGAATAAGTCTCTTGTGGGGTGGGGGGACAGAGCTCCAACAATGTCCTAGGAAGAAAGTATGGACTTGTATACCACTGGGCTTGAGTTCAATTCCTGCTAGTTTACTTTCTGGTACCATGTTCTTCTCCTCCAGATGGCCAGAGTATAGAATGGGGAGTGGAAGAAGGATTGATGTCACCAGTTCCCTCCTGGGTTCTGATATGTGGCTGACAAGAGCTGCTGCCTACTCCCCTGCTGCCCTGACCCTTAGGAAATTCCTCTAATTCCTCAACCCAGATTGGACTGGGGCCCCATAATTTGATTTTCCAGAGCAGTGCTTTGGCTGGACTCCTTCTGAGGAGGAATGTCTGGGTCAGCAAGAAGACGTCAAATATTGGATTTTTGGTTTCAGGGGAAGCATTCAGATCCTATCCTGAGGTTTCTCTGATGATGTCTTCTCTTTCCCAACAGAACTAGCATTGACCACATTTGCCTCAGAGCATGTGAGGTTGGGCTTCCTCCTTCCAGTTGTGTTGCAAGCTTTGTTGTTACACACCTGCCACCACAGTGCCCTATCCATTTGATCAACTATCTATTCACTTATTACTTCATCCCCCATCTATTTATCTTCTAATCAGCCCATCTGTCTAGTCTTCTTACTCATCTTTTTATCCATCCACCCACCTGATCCATCCTCCCTCCAACCTTCCATGGAGCCCTCCTCGTCTCATATAATCATCTCCTCATCCTCTTGTGCACACACCTGTTCTCTCACTCATTTATTCCCTCTTCCATCCAGCCTCCTATTCTCCCATCCCTCCTTCTATCCACCTACCCATCCATCCATCCATTTGCCAATCCATCTACTTGTCAAGTTATCTACCATCCTCTCATCCATTTATTTACAACCCACCATAATCCTACTTGCCCATCCATCCTTTCACCCATTTGTCAAACCATCATTCTCCTACCTGCCTATCCATTGCTCCATTCACCCGTCAGTCTGTCCATCCTCTGTATTCCCCCACCTACCCATCCATCCATCCATTTGCCAATCCATCTACTTGTCAAGTTATCTACCATCCTCTCATCCATTTATTTACAACCCACCATAATCCTACTTGCCCATCCATCCTTTCACCCATTTGTCAAACCATCATTCTCCTACCTGCCTATCCATTGCTCCATTCACCCGTCAGTCTGTCCATCCTCTGTATTCCCCCACCTACCCATCCATCCATTTATGTATTTGTCCATTTCCCATATTCACCTGCCTATCCCTGTATTCACCCATCTATCTCCCTCCATCCCCTACCTGCCTGTCCATCTATTCACCCATTTGTCTGTCCTTCCTCCCCACTACATTCCCATCTGTGATTTGTTCTTCCTTTAGTCTTCCACTTCCAATTTGTGTGTCCTGGAGTCACTTGTTTTTCCACCCAGGCCTCTCATGCAACTCCCTGTCCAGCAGCATTCTGAGACCATGGGGGAATGCTCTTAGCTTAATACTGAACACTCARCCAGTATCTTTTTTTTTTTAATATTTATTTTTTAGTTTTAGGTAGACACAATATCTTTATTTTATTTTTATGTGGTGCTGAGGATCGAACCCAGTGCCTCATGCATGCTAGGCGAGCGCTCTAAAGCTTGAGCCACAACCCCAGCCCCTCATGTGGTGTCTTTTGTGCTGGGACTAGGCAGTCACTTTTCTTTTATAATTAAGTTTTGCAACATTTAATCTCAGCTCTGACCTTACCAACCCACCTACAAGGTTCCTAATGTTTTCTGGTCTGGATATTCGTGTTCTCACACGGTCCTGATGTATGGTCACTCCTGGCATGCCCAATGTTGTCCCTGTCATTTATAATTCACTCTATGGGTAGGCACATTTGTCATAAAGTGGCCTCYTGTTTGGAAAATGTGAAACTGATTATGGAGGTCAAGCAGGAATCTTTCTCGGCACAAGGAGAGAAGAAAGCTGCCTCCTGCCCACGGGCCAGCAGTTGTCCCATGGATCCTGATCATTGCTACCCACATGCAGTGTCTCGGTCCCTTCTGCTTCTTGGCTCTAAGTCTCAGCTGAGATGGGCCAACTCAGCAAACAAGACATGGCTGAGGACTTGGGTTGTTTGTCTCCTCCCAGGCAGGAAGACTCCATACCCATCTAGCATCACTCTTTGTACTACCAGTCTCAGTTCATACTTTTATAAGGCCTAGTGTCTACACCTTGACTGGGTCTGGGTGCTGGAAGATGTGCACAGGACAGAGTACTCCTTCTTTGCCTGTGCTGTGCTTTTTGGTGGCCAGAGAACCCAAATTGTGCCTCACTCCCAACCCCCTCTTCCCAGTGGGGCTAACACCTTTCCCAGCTATAGTGCCATTCATTCTCAGGGTATGGCTGATTTAACAGCTCCTATCCCCACACTAGCATCCCCACAAGGTCACATTGACCATTTTATTTATGTGACAGGAGCTGGGGAGATGAAGAGCAGGTGTGGGGACTTATGCTGGTCTCTTGCCCTCATTGGGCCTTGGTTTCTCAAGTGTCATGGTGGGACTAGGCCCCATAGTATCATTTCACCTTTGAAATACACTGTGTCCTCAACTCAGCCATCACTGATGTGGCCCAGCCTAACACTGGCCCTTCCTCTCTAGGAGCTCTGTCCTTGCAGCTGGCTCCATCCAGGCCAGTGAGCAGCAGACCTGGCCCTCTGTTTGTGTCAGTCATTGTGTGTGGCATTCATACACAGAGGCCTCTCTTTTCTAAGTTCAGGTTCTATGTTGGTGCAGGGGTAAGGGGTCTAGCAGAATTGGCCTTAGTGGGCTGTGTGGGACCAGCCAGGAGCAGACTCCAAATAGCACTGGGCATCAAGCCACGCACCAAGCTCTGGGCACTGTGGCCACATGGTTGTACCCTGCCTGCGGCTCTGAGCCTGGGTTTGACTCTGCATACTTGGTCTGCTTTTCATTGCCCATGAAAAACAAACACACTGGTCAGCCAGAGAACAAGCAGCAAGGAAAAGTRCTGGCTTGTCACTGCAAATGCCAACTCTTCATTGCCCCTGTTTGTTCCCCTGGGGCTCTGGACCCCATGGGGGCAGTGCTGAGCCAGGGGCTGGGTGGGCCTGACCTCCCCAAGTATTGGGCCTCAGATGTTCGGGCCTATGCCCTCTCACACATAGGCCACTTATAGGCACAGAGCCTCTAAACTTCATGTAGCCCTAGCCAGAACCTCAGCAAGGCTTTCACTAGGTTTTCACTTAGCCATATGAAACAGATACTGCCCCTATTTTAGGCTGGGGTGGCTGCAAATGGAGGCTGGACAATAGTCCTTGGGCCAGGGTTGCTGGGCGCTGAGGCAGAGGTCACTTGCCTAGGTGTTCTAGGCAACTACGATAGTAGACTGGCTTCTTACTCCCTGTCCATTGGCTGCACCAGCTCTGGTACACTAGTTGTGTGGCTACAGATGGTCCCTGACCCTTTCTTGGCCTTGTCCACTGTTATAAGGTGGGGCTGGGGTAGTCCCATGAAATAGGGATGAGCTGGTATATGCTGTGGGCCAAGGATATAGTGGACACTCATCACACCAGTTCTTCCTGCCCATCCCAGCAGTCTCTAAGACACTCACAGTCCATGATTCTGCTGGACCTGGTAGGAAGCAGAGGAGCCTGAGTCAGAGCCCCAGTCCTCACTGGGAGTAAGCCAGCTGCTTCCAGCCGGCCTGGGATTAATGACTTTTAATTTAGAATTTAATCAATGCAGCTTCCCTCCAGAGAGCTGAATGTTCTGGTCTGGGAGTGAGTTGCATGATCTGTGAGTGGCATAGGCAAGAGGCCTGTGATGGCCTCATCAGGCCACTGTTCCACACCACTCTTAGTTTGCTCTGCTTTGCCTGCAGCTGGCTGGCACCCTATCATGGAGGACTACAATGTACACTCAGCTGCCAGCATCTTGGCCTCGGTGAAGGAGCAGGAGGCCCGTTTCGAGCGACTGACACGGGCACTGGAGCAGGAGCGGCGCCATGTTGCCCTGCAGCTGGAGCATGCCCAGCAGCCTGGAGTAGGCAGCAGTGGTGTGGGCAGTGGGCATCCCCTACCAATGGCCTGGCAACAGCTGGTCCTGCAGGTAACAGCCCACTGACTGGGAGAGGGTAAAAAGAGCCAACTGGGGAATCAATCAAAGAGTCCTAGCAAACCTCTGATGTATGCAATGGCTTGTTATAAGACCTGTTGAGCTTTTGGAGAGGAAAGAAAAGATCCCAAGGATGTTGGCTAGCCACTTAGGTATGCTAGGCACTATATGAATGATGTTCAAGATACAGTTTGACCCTGAGATTAGCATACTCCACTGAGGGAATGCTCAGGATTCAGTGGATAGGATCTGATCTTGGCAGCTCTTTGGGCAGCCTGGTAACACTGAGGGTTTTGCCTGTTCTGGAGCCTCCCTTTCATGATTTTCTCCTTCATTGCATGCACTGGTAGGTCAGCCCCAGGGGAAGGCTTGATTGAGGTCCCAGGCTCTGTCTACAGCTCAGAGGGTGACCTGGGAGCCTCAGTTTCCCTGCTGGACATTGCCCTCAGAATAGGCTTTAGGCAGCTTCTATCCCCAGAGGGTCTGAAGCCCTGTCTATTTCCTAGCCAGTGGAACAGATAGGGCTCCACAGGAGTCAGACTTCCTAGACCTTCCCAACATCTCCCTTACCTCCATGGGTCATGAGGGTGGAATGAGGAAGCGCAAGGAGCCTATAGAGTCTGGTGACAATCTGCCTGTGTCAGGCTGAGGAACTTAGGGCAAGTGACCCCTCCCTGAGTTTGGCCTTGCTTGACAGTGGCCGAGTGATGGTTCTTTTGTCCACTCATGAGATCCACTCATATAAAATGTATGGCCCTGTACAAGTACACAGTCAAAGTCAAATGCATGTCTTCAGAATGCCCCTAACTCATTGGGGGAACTCTTTCTAAGCATCTGGGTCTGAGTGGTCTCGGGCAGGTGGCATAACCACCCACAGAAGCCTGGRACTGAGAGGAATCAGTATGAATACAAGAACTCAAAGAGTTCCAAACCTCAAGCRTTCCAAAGGGTGTTCCCTAAACTCTAGCAGGGGAATAGAATGCCTAGCTGAGCCACATGGGGACAATGGCAGCCTGTGACCCCAAGGGTGCTCCTCAAACACCAGGCACTCAGTCTATCCCTCCCAGCCTGGAACAGGCTCTGTTCTACAGCTCACAGATAAGTAGTGTGGGAGGACAGAGGGCATTCAGAGGGTCGATGCTCTGGCATAAACATGTTCCCACAGTCTGGAATTGCCCTGGCCTCCTGGGGACTGAGCCTGCATGACCTTAGGCCATGACCTCTCCTCCACCCTGCCCTTTTTTCTTAGGCTGGGAGCAGAGACAACATGTGTTCCCAGGGCTGTAGCTGGACTGATGAGGCTGATGGGGACACAGGGAGGCATTGGATTAGCCAGACCCAATTGCCTCCATGCCAAACCTACTTCTCAGATTAATCCCAGCAGGAGGTGCTGGGTGAGCTATCATTGAATCTCGGGACAGAGCTGGAGTTCTAAAGCTGGCAAGACAGGTAGCTGGGGGCCAAGACTATGGAACCAAGGCTAGAAGTTACTGCTGCTGTGTCTCCTGGGATTCTCCATGGTCTTGGCTGCCTGCCCTTCAGACACTCAGCTAGAGCAGGGCTGATCCTCACCTAGGTGGGAAGGGTACCATGAAGGCCTGGCCAGATGGGCCATTGGACCTGCCTTGGGCCCAGGCAAGATGGCCTGTGGCTGGGGCACTAGCAACTGGTGCATTTGGGGAGAAGACCAAACCGGCCTTAATTCAGGATCAGGGCCACATTCCCTTAAAGCAGTGTATACTTCTCACTGGCCTGGGTAGCCATGAATGGAGGATGCAGTAGGCCAGTGGTAAAGTCAACTCACTCCTGTCTAGGTAGGGAAACTGAGGCTCAAAGTGGCACATAGTGGACATTGAAAGTGCTTGAGCTTACTGGAAGTATAACCTCTGTACATGGCATATTGTGGAAGCCAGGGGTGGTATGAGGCAGGAAGCTCAAGCCTATGCCCCTTTCTTGCAGTACCCCCAAAGCCTCTGTGGGCTGGCCCCAGCTCTGTTAATATCAGAACCTGGTTTGTCATTCATGATGCAGGAGCCATTGGCTTGCCTCTGTGGGAAATGACCCAAGAAGGTCGCCCTCACTGACCCTCTCCTGAATTTCCCTCCCCTTCACCTAAGTTTCCCCCAAACAGAGTCAGACTCCTTAGGTGTGGCTGCTTGGGGACTCCATGGGATAGAGAACCCCTAATTGGCAACTCTGATCCCCTCACTTCATCCACCACTTCCCAGTAGATCAGAAACAGAGGGTCTGAAGCCAGTTCAGCCCCTAGGACTTTTTCTGAGGGTTCAAGATCAAGATATTAAGTTTTTTTGAGGGTTGGATTTTGGTTTGGTTTGATTTGGTTTTGGTACTGGGGATTGGACCCAGGGGCACCTAGCCACTAAGCCACATCTCCAGCCTTTTTTATTTYTTATTTAATTCACTAAGTTGCTGAGGCTGGCAATCCTCCTGTCTCAGCCAGTCGCTGCGATTCTGGAATTACAGGCTTGTGCCACCTCACCTGGTAAAGGGATTAAGATTTTTACACAAGGTTACCCAAGAGTTGTTTTCCTGCCCCAATATTTGACGCACTCTGACACCTCAAAGGGTGGGAAGACACAGGGTCTCTTGATGGAGAGAACTCAAAACATAAAGTAGGCCTGTGGAAAGACCATTCGCCAGGTCCCCATTGAGCTTTGTGGGAGGGCCTTTCTTGGAAGCCCATGCTGGGTAGGGGCTAGGCAGAGGGCTGGGACTAGATCTGAGAGAACTTGCAGCGCTAACAATGCTTAACTACTGTCTTATTGGCCTAGAAGGGGAAAACGGAATCATAACCAGGATAAGTGGATTATGCCAAAGATGCTGGCTTTTGAATTCAGTTTTTCCGTCTGTAAAAAGGGTGTGTGTGTGTTCATTTGCTGAAGTCCAACCGAAGCCTAGGAAGGACTTGGCTAGAGTCACTCGGCTGGAAAATGCCACCCCCTGGGGGAGGGACGAGAATTCTGACCAGCTGCCAGGGACCTGGGGACCACCCGGGCCTATCCTGGCTGCAGAGCCCCGCCCCGGACAGTAGAATGCTGAACCTCACCCCACTCCTCTGGCTCCCGCCCCGCCCCGCCTGGGCGCGGCCCCGCCCGATTGGCTGCTCACCGTGACCGCCGCCAGATCCGCCCCCGCGGGGAGCGAGTCCGCTGAGCCCAAGCGGCAGAGGCACCGGAGCCGAGCCCGGTGTATCTGCCGCCGCCCCTGCAGGCCTGCGCCCCCAGAACCCCCGGCCCGATGCCGGCCGAACTCAGACAGGTTGGAGGGAACTCGGTTCCGGGCGGGGGCCGAGGGCACCAGGCCGAGGGCACCATCCTGGGGCCAGCCCCACCGGAGGGCGGGGCGCCGGCCTTCCCCGGGAAGGACCTGCTTTTGTTACGCTGAGCTGCTGGCCCAAAGCAGCTATTGTCTGATCTCCCGGCTGGGCTGCGCGGGACCCAGGGCCAGGCGGGGTGGCAGGAGTGAGCACACTACCCTGGGTTTGTGCAGAATGGGTTGGGGCCTCTGGGTCTTCAGAACTAGCGCGCGGTGTCCCAAGGCAGGTGACCCTGGGTTCAGAAGGAGCCAGGACCTGAGCTGGTTGGTTGTATCTCAGCCAGCACCAAGATAGGTGGTGGGGTACCCGGGTAGAGGGCCAGGGCCTCCCTGAGTAGCCCTTCTCTGTGCAGAGGGAGGCTGACTGAGTCTGCAGAGGGGAGTCCAACCAGGCCTCCTGTTTCCTTGGGGCACCCTCCCTTTCCCTTCCCTTCCCTCTCTACCCCTGCGCAGGCTCCTACTCTGGGGACCTACGAGAGAGAAAGAGCTTCTGGAGCTTTAATGGAAGCTCTGCCTCAGCAACGCTCATGAGAGGAGAGGTGGAAGCTGGTCCTGCCCACGTGTGGAGGCAGGAGGGGTCTCAGAGGAAAACGGGGCTGGTCGCCTCCCATTACTGAATAGAGTGGAAGGCAGGTGAGCAGCCTGTACTCTGCTCAGAAGTAAGATTCAGTAATAGTCTGGGAAATAGGCTGAATAGAGGAGCAACCCCACATAAGACCCTTTATGGTAGGAGGAGTGTCTCCCACAGCCAGATTTCTGTCTGTTACGCATTTCTGGCTCTGGGGGTCTGGCTACTGACTGATTCAGAAATGGAGGGACCAGGGAGGAATTTGTGGGTACAGTGTAGCTGAGGTCTAGGCTTAGGGAAACTGGGTTAGGTGACTGGCTTGCTCTCCCAGCCTGCTGGACACCAGATTCCCTTGGCCTTTCAGCCCACTTGTCTAGGGCCACACCCTGGCAGGTATATTGCTACTGTGGAAGGTCAACCTTCAGCGGCCATGGGCACCAAAGGAGAGGGTACTTTGTGGTGGCCAAGGTCTGGATGCCTCGTGGTAGATATCAGCCTGACTTGTCCTGTACTCCACCTGGAAGTGTCATACTGAGGGATTCAGAACAATTATTTTTCCAATTTTTTATCCATCCAGGGGTAGCCATTGCTTGCCCTCTGGAGACTTGGCCCAGGAGTTGTAGTCTCTCAGTGTACATTCTCACCTTAACCTGTACCCAGTGTTTCCCAGCAGACCTTGCATAGGGTGGGCAGCCCACTTCTGCAGTCTGTTCTTCATGATACAGACTGTGGGTGTGTATCTATAAAGTTCATAGACCTTTGAGCATTGATCTACATCTTGCTTTTCTACCCCCTATGTTTCTTGTATCTGGCTATATAGATTGGACTGGCAACCTGTTTCYGGAATCTCTGTATGAGGAAAACAACCCCCAAAGAGGCAGACGCCTCTTGGGGCCCAAAGCGCTTGTGCTGTGCTCAGTTGTGTCTGCAGGGATCCTATTGAGAGGTAGTGGGCGGGTCTGCCTCATCAGACACTCTGGCTTCTTCTACAGGCCCAAGGGAAATCATAGGAAACCCCAGATCTGGGCTGCAGCCCCTCTCCAAGCCAGGCCCAGAAGCTATAGACCTGCTGTACCATAGATGGGAGAGCCCCAGGATGAATGTGAGCCCCATAGAACATGGTCCTTCTATGAGGTGAAAGGATAAAGTCAGAACCAAGGAGGAGGTGACGATAAATGATTGGCAGGACATAAGGAGTAGGGGAGGAGAGGGGTGTTGTGTCCAGCATGGTGCCAATGTCTGGGCTATAGAGGGGAACAGACTAGAATCAGGTCTAGGACAAAGGTAATGTGAGGCTGCAGGACTGGGTTCCCTGCAGGCCAGTCTGGGCTTACAGATGTGAATCGTAGAACACCAGAATAGGACACTGGAGCCAGTCAGGGAACCAGGCACCCCATTCAGCCCCCTTTGTCAAATGTATACTGGTCATTAGTTCACCATCCTATAGATCCTCCATAAAGATGTTGGAGAGGCCTGAGCCATGGAGTTAACCTGGGCATCCCTCTGCTATAAGCTTCAGTTTCTCTATTTGCTGCCAGCTCTGAGAGTCTGTGTCTTGGTCCTTGTATGTTGAAAGCATATCTCGAGGCCCCACATGGGTAAGGGTCTGGATAAACCAGTGGAAGACATGAGAATACAGGTATTCTAGCATATGCCTTTGAGAATAGTAGTACTGTGCATTTTGGGTGTTCTTAGAGGTGCCACAAATTTATATGTTTGGACCTGTGAACTAGGCTGGGTGCTCATATACTTATGGACATGCACATGTTCCTGCCTGAGGAATCAGGTACATGTGTCTGTGCATGTTTCCAGATCCCTGTCTGTGTGTGCCTAGGCATGTGTAACAGGGCTGGGCTTTTCCTTGAGTGCCAGCTGACTCATGCTTCCACCTGCCTGGATGAAGTCATTGCCCATTTTTAGCTCCCTGAGGTCATTTGCCAGCAGGGACTCTTGGGTCCATGGGATCCCGCTGCCTTGCTGCTGATCCCCAATGTTAGTGGTGATACTACAGAATTGCCACTGATGGCTGGGGGCCCTTGCTCTCCTAACTCTTTCACCCTAACTCTGCACTATTAGACCCTCACCATAGCCAACTTGGGAGGAGGAAGATGGGCCACAGATTGGTAATGAGGTACCACAATGTCCTTCCCCCATCTCCCAACTATGGGGATCTCAGACCTGGCAGCAAATAGGTAAACTGAAGCTTATGGTAAAGAAATGCCCAAAGCCATTCTGTGACTCAAACTCTGGAACATCTTTCTGGTGAGTCTGTGGGTTGGTGGGCTCATGAACAGCATGTACTTGACAGAGTGAGCTGATTGGTATGGGCTCAGTTCCCTACCACCTAGCTAGGGAATATGAGCTCTTCTACTTGTGTTTAATGTATAAAAATCTAAGAGGCCATATATGACTGGCAACAGTCTCCTCAGTCTTGCTCTTCCCCTCTACCTTGTCTCTGCCCCTCTTTCTTGGGCCCCACACTAGAGCTGTGACTAATCTCAGGGCCCTGCACAGAGTTTGAAGCCTGACACGCAGTTACCAGATACACATGGGGAAGCCCAGGCGCTAGAAAGGATAGCTGCCCTGTGCCTACTTTTACTTTAGAACCTTCCCATTTTACCCCATTGCCCTTGGGGTAAAAGCCCAGGCCTCCCTCTCAGCACACTACCAATTGTCCCCACTCTGGACCTCAATCTGTTTCTCTTCCCTGGGAACAGGGTCTCTTCTTTCTGGCCAGGTCCCAGCAGACTTTCCAGTAAGACTGGGCTGGTGGCCATCAAGGCCTTGTCCCCATCAAGGCCTTGTTCCCAAGAGGTAAGGTGTCACTCAAAGGATTCCTTATCAGATAAGTGCCTGAAATCCCTTGGCTAACAATAGTGAGGTTCTGAGTAAACTTTCTCCCCTCTGCCAGACCTCAGTTTTCCCATCTATAATCTCATCTCTTTACCTTCTGAGGACCTGCTTCTAGGGGAGAGGGGAGTGCATTCTGTGCTATTGCTCTCCTCTTCCTCTTGATCCTGAGGGATGCACTGTCTTAACATATTGGTGCAGGCTCCTACCCTGACCTCTGCACACATGCATTAGGGCCCCTAGGACAGGGCCCTGATGTGAGGCAGATTCCTGTGCCAAAGATCTCAGGAGGAAGGCCCTGAAAACAGCCCTGGGCATTTTGCCTAGAGTACCTCTGAAGATGACACACGCAGCCAGAGTATAGCTCTGGAGCCAGGCAGGTGCAGTATGAATTGCAACCCTCCCTGGACCTCTGCTCAGGATCTGTGCAGGCCTCAAGGGGCCCAAACAGGGAGCACATTCTGTGAGGCCTGGGCCACAGAGTGAGGCATGAACTGCTGACCTGTCCCTGGCTACCCGGGAATGTGCTTCCCCTTTGCCCACCCACAACAGTTTTGATTTCAGTCCCCCTGCCCATCCTGGTAGATGCCAATCCCCGGACATAAGTATGGTGGAACCCTGGGGTACATATGCCCAAAGGCAGATTGGCTTAGGTCTCCATGCCACTCAGCAGAGCAGAACTGGCCTGTCCTCTTTCAGCTTCAGCTTCCCCACTGGCAAGTCCAGCTATTTAGCACATGGATCTCAGAAGGGCATAGTCTAGAGTTGTCCTGCCTAGAATTTCACTGTTGTGTGCCCCCTGCAGGGTGATGGTAAGGTGACTGTAGTGCAAATCTACTATCACTGGTCTCTGATATGACATCTAGAATCTCTGTCAGCTGGGGGCACCAGACATAGGCCTGAGGTGGGGCCAGACCATGCCTTTAAGAGTGTCTAAATTGGAAGGATCAAGGATATTTTGGTGCTTTGGACTACAGTACATTCTGAAAGCTGGGTATTTCTGTCCTGTAAGAGCATCTGGCTGGACTTTGCAGGAGACCAGGAGTGGCCACAGGAGACAGTCAGTGCCACTGAAACTGTGATCCCCAACATTTATGCATTTATGCATTCCAGGCTTCTGGAGTGCAATAGGGAGGAGGCTGCACAAAACCTTGAGGGTCCAGCCAGGAGTAACAAGTTATGTCAGGAGGACATCCTACATGTCCTATCTAGGATCTCTTCGGGCCTGGAAAAACCTGCAATAGCCAAGGCATTGAAGCTCAGAGAGGCCTGTACCTCTCTAAGCTATTTATTTGCTAGTGGAACCCAAGGAGGCCCTAGGAGGGGAACCAGGCACCTACACTCCAGGGACATATGAGCAGCAGGTCCTGCCCCCTGATATCTGCCTCTTTTCCCCAGGAGCAGAGCCCAGGGAGCCAGGCATCACTGGCCACAATGCCGGAGGCACCTGAGGTGCTAGAGGAGACAGTGACAGTGGAGGAGGACCCTGGTACACCTACCTCCCATGTATCCATTGTCACATCTGAAGATGGCACAACCCGGCGCACTGAAACCAAGGTATGGCGGGTGCAGGTGTTAAGAAAGTAAGCCAGGAAGCCCGTRGCTCTCCCTTTGTGATGTGGGCATGTGAGCCAGCCCCCTAGGGGCCGCCTGTTTGGGTGGAAAATTGAGGCCACCCTGGCTCTGCTAGGGTACTGCCCAGGCCTCTTGGACTGCCCAGCTCACACACTACCGGCTTATCCACCAGGTCACCAAGACTGTCAAGACAGTGACCACGAGGACAGTACGGCAGGTGCCTTTGGGCCCAGATGGACTCCCCCTGCTGGATGGTGGCCCTCCACTTGGCCCTTTTGCTGATGGTCCTCTGGATCGGCATTTCCTACTGCGTGGTGGTGGTCCAGCAGCCACACTCTCCCGAACCTACCTCAGTAGTGGGAATGGCTTTCCTGATGGCCTTGAGCTCCGTGATGGCCCTAGCTATGGCAGCCTGTCCCGGGGTCTAGGGTTACGGCCCCCACGCACTGGCCCCCTTGGCCCAGGACCTGGTGATGGCTGCTTCACACTGCCTGGCCGCCGGGAGGCCTTCCCTGTGGGTCCTGAGCCTGGACCATCAAGTGGTCGTTCCCTGCCCGAGCGYTTCCAGGCAGAGCCCTATGGCTTGGAGGATGACACACGCAGCCTGGCCGCTGACGATGAGGGTGGCCCTGAGCTGGAGCCCGATTACGGCACAGCCACACGGAGAAGAGCTGAGTGTGGGCGGGGCCTTCGTGCCAGGTGAGCACCCCATTCCATGTGGCTGCCTCCTTTGGAAATTCTACCTTCTCTACCCAAGCCATAGAATACTCCACAGTCAAGCTGCCGGGGCTGAGTTAGTCATGCACACTTTAGTTTGGATCAGCCTTGACTTTTCTCAAAGACAGCAGCAAGGACAGACCCTGAGATGGTAGATGTTAGTCTGGACAGGAGAGAAGCTGGTGACAGTGCCAGATTCCTGCTTTGTTCCAAACAGATGGCTGTTAATACCAAAGTGCAAGAGATTCAGGGTGTTACTCTGAGCTCAAGGTCCCAGACTATCCCTGTGCTTCAGTCTTTCCCAGGTACCAGAATAATTAGAACCCATTGCCCCTAGTCCTTCCTGTCACAGCCTCTGGTTCTGTCTATATGCCTTATATGTGCAGAGTGGGAACATAATCACAGCCTGGGTCTGGATTTTTTATGTGACCCTAGGTGAGTTACTTGACCCTCCTAGCTCAGTCCCTACCCTGGGAAGTGGGTTTGATGAGAGCCCATGGGGCTACTGAGAGCAAAGGATATCTCATACTCTGAAAGGCTAGTAGCCTGAATGCCCTTCAGATAGTTCTACTAGAATGACCACATGAAGGGAAAGTCATTTACTTCCCCTGCTTCCTGGTACTAGCCAGATGATCTTACAAAATGGGGTGAGATTTCCCACCCACTATCACAGAAAAATATTACATGGAAACACATTTAGTGCAGGATTGGTGATAGGAGTGAGCAAACTCCCCATCCCCAGTGGCCTTTGGCTGGGATTTGGCTCTGTCATTGACTGTGAGTCAGTTCTTGCTTGGTCATGACTTTTTGGCATGGTCAATTCTTGGGCATGACTTTTGGGACCCACTCCATGCTCAGAACTGAGATATAGATTCTGTCAGCCCAGCCCTGCTCTGGGCATTTATCGTCTTCTGGATACTGTGATGGGTAGCTCAGAGGGTAGGGCTGGCAGCGGCTGTAAAGATGTTCACTTGCCCTGCTCCCCTGAACAGGGCCTATGAGGATGTAGCAGATGATGCTGGTGAACTGACTGATGAGCGGCCCCTGTACCCAGCAGCAACGGCACCACTGGCCCAGCCAGAGCGGGGCAGTCTGGGCAGCCTGGACCGGGTGGTACGTCGCTCACCCTCAGTGGACAGTGCCCGCAAGGAGCCACGCTGGCGGGACCCTGAGCTACCTGAAGTGCTGGCCATGCTCCGGCACCCTGTGGACCCTGTGAAGGCCAACGCAGCTGCCTACCTGCAGCACCTGTGCTTTGAGAATGAGAGTGTCAAGAGACGTGTACGGCAGCTGCGTGGACTGCCACTACTTGTGGCACTGCTAGACCACCCTCGGGCTGAAGTGCGTCGCCGGGCCTGTGGAGCACTGCGCAATCTCTCCTATGGCCGTGACACCGACAACAAGGCTGCAATCCGGGATTGTGGCGGTGTGCCTGCTCTGGTGCGCCTGCTGCGAGCAGCCCGTGACAACGAGGTCCGTGAGCTGGTCACTGGTGAGTGGGACCTGGTCATGCCTACTTCCCCCAGGAAGAAAGGAGAGCAAGGCTCAGCCTGCAAGGGGTGAGGCCACCTGGGGGAGAGCACCCAGGAGGTCAGGAATTCCAGCTGCTGGGACTGTTTGCCCTGGGAGTGGGCATCCAGCCCAGATGCTGTGACAGATTCCCAGTCTCTATTACCATAGGCAGGGGTGCTGGTACCAGGACCCACCTTCCTGGTTCCCACCCCATGATAGTAGGGTAGTAGGGTTTGTGTCTTGTAGGACCTGAAGGAGCAGGCAGGGTCACATGACCATCTCTGTGTATGGCCTGGTGGCCTCAGGAACTTTGTCCCACCTACCTACATAGCAGGAATGGGTAGGAAGAGATGACACATGCCAGGCCCCTCTGAAGCCCAGCTCTTCCCTCCCAGCTGGAAGCCACCTTTAGGTGCTGCCTGCTTATCTTGCCTAGGCCAGGATGGTCTTCCAGAACCTCTCCTGGCTTTTTATTATTTTCTAACTTTTTGTGCAAGCTAGAGTGTAGCTCAGTCTTAGTGTGCTTGCCTAGCATGTACTAAGGCCCTGGTTCAATCCTCAGTCCAGAAAAAGAAAAAGAAAAAAAACCTATACTGATTAACTGTGTAAAGCTGGGTACTTTGACTTATGCCTATAATCCCATCTACTTGGGAGACTGAGACAGGATTYCGAGTTCTGGGTAGCTCCTGCAAAGAACTGGGGTTGTAGCTCAGTGGTAAGTGCCCCTGGGTTCAATTCCCAGTACCAAACTAAACCAAACCAAACAAAAAATTCCTATGTGAACTGGGGAACAAGGGTGGGGGCAGGTCCTGAGCATAGTCCCCAGGGGAGGCAGGGCCCAGTAGTCAGCATGGTTGGTCGGCGGCGCCCTGCAGGCACACTCTGGAACCTGTCATCCTACGAACCCCTGAAGATGGTCATCATTGACCATGGCCTGCAGACGCTGACCCATGAGGTCATCGTGCCCCACTCGGGCTGGGAGCGAGAGCCCAACGAGGACTCCAAGCCCCGGGATGCTGAGTGGACGACTGTCTTCAAGAACACATCAGGCTGCCTGAGGTGTGGGTAGGGGCTGGGCTCAGGCTGTTTCCACAGGATGACTGGGTATTCAATTAGGGAGGCAGAAACAGGTGCCAGAGACTGCACATATACCCAGGCCCTGTCCTGGTGGGTAACCATGTTCTCAAAGTCCCAGAGAGCATGGAAGACAGTGAACCACCTGAATCTTAGGAGTTTCAGAGCCACATCACGAGTCCTGTTGATGGGAAGTAGGATTGATGGGAGATATCTTCACCCCCAAGGGCAACCTCTAGACAGGGACTCTCACCTTTCCTATAATGTCCAACCACTCTAGCTCTGCCCATTGTCCCATCACCATGATAGCTAGGGAGTAGGAGCAAGATCCTTGTGTCCAGTTGCCTCTGGGTCTTATCCCTTCATGTTTATGACCTTTGCTCTTCCCCTCCTATCTCTGGGAGGCCTTCCATAGACTCCACAGGTATGATCCCATGGTCATGCCTGTCCATCAGGTCCTGCTCCAATGGTCCTCTGGGGTCCAGACCTCTCAGTGTGAAGCCTAGTGCTGCCGCTGGGATGCAGGGGCAGAATTACCATGCACTGGTGGATTCAGGYCTCCTTGGGCCCCTCTTTGGCCCTTCCTAATTAAACTGGGAGTCAGGGAAGACCCCTTATGCCCAACAGATATGTTGAGCTAAAGCAGCCCACCTCCTGGAGTTGAAGTTGTCAGGACYTCCTGCCCCTCCTTCACTGTGCTTCAGGTTTTGGTATACTATCCCAGTGGCACTGTTGTGGCAGCAGCAGGGCCAATTGTACAGATGAAGACAAGCCCTTTGGGCCAGGGTTGGGGCTGGAGAAGTTCTTACCGGAGTTAGGGGGTCACCAGGCCTGCTCTCTGGCAATACAGGAATGTGAGCTCAGATGGTGCTGAGGCCAGGCGACGGCTCCGGGAATGTGAAGGACTGGTGGATGCTCTCCTGCATGCCCTGCAGTCAGCTGTGGGCAGAAAGGATACAGACAACAAGGTGGGCAGGGCAGGGACAGTCTTGGCAGCCTCCTTCCAAGGATCAAAAACTGGATGGTGCAGGAATGGGACCCAGGGGTCTGGAACTGTCTGGGGTGGCCCAAAGGGGCATGGGTGTGGATCTGGACATGACCCACCTGGTAGTGGCCACACTGGGAAGAAGGCATGGTCCTACTGATGGCAAGTGCTCCCTAATATAGGGGCTTCCTCTTGTAGCCCCTCCTTGGCCTAACTGTGGCCAATCTTTCCTGAAAGCTAGTTCCACACACAGGGTCCTGGGATGGTCAGCAATCCCCAGACCCCGTGGCCCTGCCCCACCAGGTCACCTTTCCCCACAGTCTGTGGAGAACTGCGTGTGCATCATGCGAAACCTGTCCTACCATGTGCACAAGGAGGTGCCTGGGGCTGACAGGTACCAGGAGGCTGAGCCTGGGCCCCCAGGCAGTGCTGCAGGCTCCCAGCGCCGGAGGAGGGATGACGCCAGCTGCTTTGGTGGCAAGAAGGCCAAAGGTGGGTGGGTGAGATTGACATGCTCCCCCTAGACCCTATTCCCTGGGCTAAAGTCTCTCATATCCATGACAGACAACCACAAAAGATGGAGGACATCTGGTCAGTCCTCCATGGGCAGGTGAGGAAGTAGGGAACTGCCGTGGGTCACACAGCTAACGGGCCAGGGTTCACACCCAAGCCTGGTCTTCACCCTGTGCTGTGAGCCCCCCAGAAAACTGTTCATGTTGTCTACTACTGCCCAAACTCTGTCCCTTAACTCTAGGAAAGGGTTCTGTTGGCTTGAGAATTTGGAAAGTGCTATAGGTGACACCCCCTGATCATTTAAAGAGCACCTACATGTCCTGACAAGCCCTGCAGGTATACCCCACTCCAGCTGGGCTAGGCTTCTGCTGCACACTGTCCCCTTAGGTACCTGGGGGTTGCAGTTTCCAGGAACCTGCATCCCCCACCAGTTGTAGAACAGTGTACCTCCTTCACCTGCCCTGCTGATCCCAGGTCCTCCCTTGCATGTGCCACTGGTGAGTTCTCAGCCCCAAAGAGTAATTGGGACAAGGTTCTTACTTGGTCCAAGGCACGCAGTGGGAATCTGAGGGCACAGGGAGGGTGCCACCTGCTCAGGCTCATCTCCTCTCTCCTGTGCTTCCTCCGGCCGCCCAGAGGAATGGTTCCATCAAGGTGAGTTCCTGTTTGTCCTGCTGTCCAGGCCTGGCAGGTGCTGTAGCATCAGGGAGATGCGTGTCCCCATGGCTCAAGACAGTTTTCTATGACGTCTGCAGGGCAGTGGGTACAATGGGCTCTTGGAATGCCTTCCAGTTTCAAGGCCCTGTCCCACCCCCAGTCCCATGAAAAGGCAGCCATCTCCATGACAACTACATGGACTTGACAAAGGCAGGAATGTGAGCTGTGGACTTGTGGGGAGCCTGAGAGGGAATACCCTCTGTAACATCAGACTCAGTTACCTAAGCAGGGCCAGGGCAGAGCAGAAAGTGTGCAAGGCCTAGAGTATGTCTATTACTCAGAGGGCAGAATGTGTACTAGGGCAGAATGTGCCCCTATAATGTGGCTTAGTTGTCCCATGAGGATGGGCAAGGCAGGAACCTCAGGTCATTTGAGCTTGGCTTACTGCTTTCCAAGAGGAAGATGGCTAGAGGCACTGAGTTTATTGTCCTGAAGGTGTGCAAGCCAGGGCTGTACAAGAATTTGGTAGGGCCACTATAGGAACCCAGCCTGGGTATGGGGGTTCTGGTTCGTAGAGGCTATGTTCATGTTCTGGCCCCTGACTAGGGGAATTTTCCCCTTAGATGAGACTTGACCCCTGTCAAGTCCCATCTAAGTACTGTCCCTGTCAGTTTCTCTATGCTTGTATCTAACTGCTACCCAGCATGGGCTCCTGTTTCCCTTATTTCAAACACCTGGCAGCTGCAAGGAAGCCATGAAGAGGTCTGTGGTACATTCCCAGAACCTGATGGAAGGTGAGGACTAGGTCCCCAGGGCAGGGCTGGGATGTCCCTAGGCCCTACCTCCCTGACTCAGACAAAAAACTCAGAATAAGTGCTTCACACCCAGGGTCTCTTAGTGCTCAGGCCTGGACATTAAGGTTGTTTCTGATCTCTGGGCAGGAGAGGACGATGCCTAATCCTCCTGATATACTCTTATGCCCCATGAAGACTTCCTCCCCTCACACTGCTTTTCTGTTTCAGGAAAGAGGGATGGTGAGATGGACCGGAACTTTGACACATTGGACCTGCCCAAGCGAACTGAGGCTGCAAAAGGTAAGTGGGAAGAGGCAGAGCCAGAAGTGGCCATAAGTACTTGGTGGGGCTGTATGAGCTGGGGAAGCCTAGTGCCATCAAGCAGGCTTGAAGAGTCTGAGGGGATCATTCAGACAGGGAAATGGGCCCATATGTATGGGATTTCATGGAGGGGTCCAATCCCTGGGCACCTCGGAAGGGCTCAGAATCAGGATCAATATCACAGGTAATTTCAGGTAGGGTAGATGGGAAGATACAGGCCAGGCTCTGCTCAGTCACTCAGCAGGTAAAAAAGGCCAGTCAGAGGGAAGGTAGGGCTTTCAGTATACTCCATGGGGGTTGGGAGCCAGTAGGTCATGGACCAGAGGGCTAGGACCCAAGAATGCCCCACTTATGGACTCACGCAGGGACAGGCTTGTTCACCCTTCATATCCCCTGTCCGCTGGATTCATATATATGGATTGGCCTTGTTTGCTGCACTCAGAACTAGCTTGTGAAAGAAAACATTGCCCTGCAAGCTAGAAGAACCCAGATGCCCCCAAGTTGAGTAGAAGGCCCCGGCCATGGGTGGGTTTGTGTGATGTGGGGCCATACCAGGCAGAGCAACAGGGCCTTAGAGGAGAATGCTTGGAGAGTTTGGGGAGTAGTAAGCCCAGCTAGAGTAGAGGGAACATGAGACTTGAGGACAGGGGAGCGGTGATGAAATGTGAGAGGATAGGGGAAAGGGAAGTAATGTCTTAGAGCCAGACCAGAGGCCCAAAGTAGGGACAGGCAGGCTTGGAATGCTGCCTCCACCTCTGACTCTGGAGCCCTCTGCAGGGCACCATCTTAGGGCAGCCATGATTACAATCTGAGACCTTAATTACTGGAGCTTTTAAGAGTGGTTGGCAGGAAAAGCAGGCCCTGTTGGTAGGGCAGGCCCCTTGTTCACAGATTCATTTGCATTTGGGTTGGGTGGAAGGTCCTGTTTCCAGGGAGGGTAGCCAGGTGCCCTGGCCTATTGGGGCTTATTGCTAGTGGCATGTCCTGGTTGTCACCTCCTTTCCCCAAAGTCCCCTGCTATGCTCAGGCTGCCAGGCAGATCCAGTCCCATTTCTTTGGCAGCACGGTTGAGGAAGGAATGTCCTCACCCAAACCTATTACCTTCTGAGAAGCCTGTTTGCCCCTCTGTGAAATGGGAACATTTTCCTCTTTGGGTGGCTATAGGGTTCAATACATTGATAGAAAACATGTCCTGACTCCTCCACACTCATCCCTGGCCCCAGTTCACCACAACTTTGGGAGTAAGGGGGTTCTGGATGACTATGGGCTCTGGTTGTCCTTGTACCCAGGCTTTGAGCTACTATACCAGCCAGAGGTAGTACGCCTCTACCTATCCCTCCTCACGGAGAGTCGGAACTTCAACACCCTAGAAGCTGCAGCAGGTGCCCTACAAAACCTCAGTGCCGGCAACTGGATGGTAAGGGGCCAGTTTTGGCAGGGAGAGCATGACCTGGACAGGAAGGGAATTTCCCCAATCCCTGCCCAAGCTGGAGGGTGGTTCAGGGGGAGGTGAGATACAGTGTGACTCCCCAAGGTCTGGGAGGTTCAGGGTACACACCTTGGGTGGTACAGGTGGTGCTGAGCTATTGGGGCAGGACTTTATGAGGAACCACCCCTCGCTGAGCAACCCACCTCCCTGCCCCCACCGCCACAGTGGGCCACATACATCCGTGCCACAGTGCGCAAGGAGCGCGGGCTGCCGGTGCTGGTGGAGCTACTGCAGTCTGAGACTGACAAGGTGGTACGTGCAGTAGCCATTGCATTGCGCAACCTCTCCCTGGACCGTCGCAACAAAGACCTCATCGGTAAGGACATTGACAGGGCCAAGGTGTAGAACCACGAAGGCCTTTCACTTCTGGTTTGAGGTGGGTAGTTTGGGAATCCAGGCCCTGCCCTTGTGTCTTGGGCTGGTCCCAGCCAGCTACAGGAACTCACTGTCTTCTTGGCCCATTCTCYGAAGCTCAGCCCCCTGCTCTTAGGGGTCCTTGTGGCGACCTGGGGGCCTTCCTGGCAATGCCCTTTGCCTCAATCCTGCTCCTTCCCACACAGTTGGGCAGAGGTTATCTATGTCCTAACACCCAACCCTGCCTCTTAGGGAGCTACGCCATGGCAGAACTGGTGCGGAACGTGCGCAATGCTCAGGCTCCAGCTCAACCCGGAGCCCGCCTGGAAGAAGACACAGTGGTTGCTGTTCTGAACACCATCCATGAGATTGTGTCCGACAGCCTGGATAATGCACGCTCACTCTTGCAGGCCCGTGGCGTGCCTGCGCTGGTGGCGCTAGGGGCCGCCAGGTGGGTAGGGATGGGGACCAGGGGGTGGGAATGGGGCCAGGAGGTGGGGTTGGGAGACTCTAAGGCCCCAGGGACTTATGATCCTGCCTCTGATCCTGCTGCAGCCAGTCGGTTCGGGAGGCAAAAGCAGCATCACATGTGCTTCAGACTGTGTGGAGTTACAAGGAGCTACGTAGTGCCCTACAGAGGGATGGCTGGACTAAGGCTCGCTTTCAGGTGTGGTCCACCCTGGCCTTCCCTCTCCCATTTTACCATGTCAGGTTTCCAAGAGCGCTGCTTCCCACCTCACCCCCTGTTTTGTGTCTCTTTAAGTCGGCTGCTGCAGCAGCCAAAGCACCCAAGGCAGCTTCTAGTCCCGGAGGCTTCGATGACAGCACGCTGCCTCTAGTAGACAAGAGCCTTGGTGAGTACAGGCCAGAGGAAGAGGTGGATGGCACAAGAGTCCATCCCTAAGGCTCAAGAGTGGCTCCCCACCTGCGTTGATCGTGACAAGGTTGGGGGTGGCCCCTTTCCCTGCTCTCATCCTCCTGGGTATTTCCTTCCCATGCTGTCTACATTGGCACCAGGCTGGGTGGTGGGTGCCTAGAAGCTGGGCTGAAGAATGCAGTGACATTAATGACAAGAGCACCCAAGGTCASTGAGGTCAGTCCTATGATGGGCTTATCTGCCTTGGTCACCTCTCYATCCCCAGCTGCTTGTCCTTTCCTTGTAACCAGCTACCTGCTTATGCCTTCCAGATGGTGAGAAGCCAGGCAGCCGGGATGTGATCCCCATGGATGCCCTTGGCCCAGGTGAGGGCAGGTGCTGTGAACTTGTTTCCTCCTCAGGGAGGAGGGAGGGCCCTGAGACAGTCCTGCTGGTTTTATGGGGTAAGTGTGGTTAGTGCTGGGAAGAACTTCCAAGGATCTACTCCCTGGAGAAGATTTGGTTCAGGGATACCCAGGGAATATAATGCAGTGCTGGTGAGAGCTGGCACCAGGACAGGTCTCCAAGGATCTGATAGGTGGAGATCCTCTGCAAAAGCTCCCTGTCCAAGGGGTCTCCTGAGTTTGGCCTGAGAGGAGCTAACTTGTTCCTAGAGTGCCTGCCCCTCAGAGCTCTCCTCATGCCCCACCAACCCTAACCCACTCCACAGATGGATATTCCACCGTGGACCGGAGGGAGCGGAGGACTCTGGGTAGTGACTCCTTAGGAGAGGCCTCAGAGAAGGAACCATTAAAAGTAAGTGATTGTGGGCAGGTGACCAGGGAGGCTGTATGTCTAGGGCTTGTCCAAGGAGCAGCTAGGTAGTACTCAGTTTGATCTGGTCCCTGGGGCATGACTAGGATGACATTCATCCATGGACAACTGGGAGGTGGAACCAAGCCTGGGAAGCAGCCCTTCACATCAATCAGCCTTTGGGTGTTGGGTTCAGAGCTTCACCTGCTGGGAGGGAGGAGAAAGGGAATAGAGCTCCACCTAGCCACACACTGCACTGGACTGGAGCCTGAGAAAGTGAGTCTGCGTCCTTCTCTGCATGCATGTGTATGGTCCATGCCATGGTCCAGTGGAGAGTGCAGCACCCATCACCTGCTCTATACCAGTCCCTGGCTTTATGTGAAGGCCTTTATGTGTCCACATGCCACCTAAGCCTATGTGAGCCATGCCAGCTGAGTTGCTCCATACTGCCTTGGCAGGCCCATCCTCACACTGCCCTGGCCCTGACCCCACTGACCAGCTCAGCCCCGCCCTTCAGCTGCAACTAACGTGCTTTGTTCTGCCTCTGCCGTTGTCCTGCCTACCCACCCACCCATCCATCCACCCCACCCATCTGTGTGCTGCAGCCTGACCCCTGCAGGAAGGCCCTTCTTCCCGGGCCCAGCAGGCCTTCGGTCAGGCTGGTGGACGCCGTGGGGGACACTAAGCCTCAGCCYGTTGACTCCTGGGTCTAGCTTGCATGCCTGGTATGTTCTCTTGTCTGGTTGTTTGTCCAACTGTTTTCCTATCCTCTGGGCAGGGCATCTTGTTAATCTCTGTTGGCCGCATGCTCTGCTCTCCCTGTTGCTCCCTGGCAAGACCCAAGCTGCCAGCAGGCACAGCAGGCCCAAATGTCCATCTTAGGGAAGGCCAGACTGAGGTTTGAGCAGGGATCTTCCCAGGGCCCATAGCCTCATCCTGGGCACTGTGAAATCAAGGTCCTGAGGAGATTAATCCAGAGCAGGGGGTGGTCCCTCATAAGCCTTAAATTCCTCTAGCACAGGACTCCACCAGGTCCAACAAGTCAGGATTGGTCCTAGTGTCAAGTCCCTGGGGGTTGACCCCTACCTCCTGATCCATAGTAGTTGCTTTTGTCCACATCTGCATTCACATGGCCAGTGACCTCTGTCCAGAGGTTGCAGTTGCTCTGTCCCATTCATTTGGTTCTGGCCACTTGCTTGTGCTAGTGGTTGCAGCATCTTTCTTCCTTCCATCTCCCTCTGCAGGGCCTGGACCCAACCATTTGTTCTTAGGGATCACCAGAAGGGCCATCCTGAGCAGACCCTGTCGTGGAGCTTGGAGCCCCCTGGCGGCAGGGGTTGGCTGAGACTCTCACCGGAGCCAGAACCTTTCTGGACACCCCCCCTGACCCACCCTGTCCATTCTTCCCTCTGCTCTCCCGACCTAACTCCCTAGGCCAGAGTTAGCTATTTACTGACATGGTGCTGTGTGTGGGCAGGGGTGGGGACCAGTTAAGTGGCAGGGGAGGGTAGCTGGTTTTGCTTTGGAAGACCAGGAGAGAGCACCCTGTGTGCCCAGTGCCCCAGAGGAACAATATGGAACTGGGGTGCAACTCCTAGGGACAGGTAGCCAGGCAGGGAGGGAGGGGCTTGGGAAAAGAAGTTGGTCCATGGAGAATGGAGGCCCTCCCCTGGCTGAAGCCCTACCCTGCTTAGAAAGCAGACTGTAGGCATGGGGCTACTCCAAGAGGGCTGACCCAGGCAGGGGATTAGCAAGATGGAAGTCAGGCTATGCTTGCCCCTCCACCACTCCTTGGGATCTGTGGATGTGTGGGATCCCCATATAGTGGAACTCTTCCCTGAGCTGCCTCTAGCTGGGGCTGCCGTGGCTGCCATATCTGCATCTGCCCAGAACCTCAAGTAACCTCCGGGACTGACCTCTGGCAGCAGCCCCCAAGGGAATGCTGTTCAGTGCCTGCTGTTTGTGACTTAAAAACAGAAGAAAAACACTGACAAAAAGCATTAAAAACAAAACCAAAATAAGATTGTATTGGTAAACATCTAAGTTTTTGTAAGAAAATTTTAAAAAGCAACAAAGAACTTTCTGTTTTGTGTGGCTCCGCTTCTTCTTCCCAAGCCACTGGGCTTCTCTTTCAGCCCTGGATAGGTAAAGGCTGACCAGTGCAGACTCTGCTCCTGCCCTTTGGGCATTTCTCCATATCCATTCACCCTGGCTACTTGCTAATTCCTGTTCTCTATGCTCAGAGGAGTGGGCTGCTTATGGGTGGTTAGCTGGCCCCGAGACCAGGAATGGGCACAGGTGAGCTCAGCTTGGACAGGGTTTATATTTGTGTCCAGTATAGGAACTGGGATCCTGCTGAGGTGGCCAGTAATCTGATCACTTGGAGGAGTTGGGGCCTCAGAGACACGGTCGAGGTTGGAGCAGCTCTAGATTTAGGCATACACAAATCAACTTTGCTTCACCACTTGGTACCTGGGCAGCCAGAAGAACTACTCTGGCTAGGCTAAACCTGCCTTCCTTTACTTTAAACCAAGCTGACTGGGACTAGGAAGGAACATACTCATTCATATTCAGTGCCTCATGTCCAGAGAGTCAGGCACTTTGCATAGCCCTGTGTTCACCTCTACCTAGTGCCTGCTTAGAGATGGGTAAAGGCTGGCCGATTTTTCTGTTTGTTTTTTTTTTGGTAATACTGAGCAAGGCTGGCTCCCACTTCACTGCTATGGCCAGGAGTCCTAGGCTGGGTGTGATACACAGGATCTAGCCAGTCATGAGCCCAGCCTGTAGCATTAGCATTCCATCAAGAGGAACTTGGCATGTTTGGTTTTAGCAAAGGGTCCTGGGAAAGAGGGAGCAGTGTGGCAGTTGAGAAGAACTGTACTCAGTTATCTTRTATCTAAATACTTAATCTTTCTTTTTTTCTTTTTTTTTGATACTGGGGATTGAGCTTAGGGGTGCTTGACCACTAAGCCACATTCCCAGCCCTCTTTTGTATTTTATTTAGAGACAGGGTCTCACTGAGTTGCTTAGTGCCTCACTGTTGCTGAGGCTGGCTTTGAACTCATGATCCTCCCGAGCCATTGGGATTACAGGCATGCACCACCGGGCCCAGCGTTTAATTTTTAATTTCTATTTTGTCCTTTAAACATTATTTTAGTATAAGATTATTGCAGCTAGCCAATTTTAGTAAAGCAGTTATGATTCATTCTTTAAAAGAAAGTGAAAATTCAGGAGTCCAAAGTATGTAAGAGTTGTTAATTCTGATAGTTACTGAGGCTTTGCTGCCACCTACTGACAGCAAGCCTTGAGGACATCCTGAGTGGAAGGCACAGCAGTTTGTAAATGTCTGACTTTCACACCCCTTTCTGGGTCTAAAGGAGGTGTCAGTGCCTGAGAACCATGTAGAAACCCTATTGGAATTCCACTTGCTGGTCAGTGACACCAAAGATACCACCTGCCCCAATTTGGTGTGTGTTTGTGGTGTGTATTGCTGAGGATGGAACCCAGGGCCTCACTAGGCAAATGCTCTGAGCTATATCCCCACTACCCTCAATTTAGCTTTGTCAGCAGTATTTTCACACAATGAACCTACTCTATGGAGTGTGCCAGAGTGTGACAATCTGGAACTGCAACACAGAGAGGTCACTATATGGGCAAGGCCCAGGCCTTACAGGATTTGAGTACAGTTCTCAGAATTACAGAAATGGCATTAGTAGAAGTTTGTCTATCTTGCCCTTTGGAGGACCAAGCTTGTCAGGGGAGCCCAGAGCAGGATAGACAATCAAGGCTGCACTGGACTGGTTGGGCCCTTGTAGATGGCTTTCTCGAGGCCATCCACCACATTCATGTATTCCAAATATGAGCTGTAATGTGTGCACTCAAAGTTGTTGCTCGCACGCACATATGCCAGATATTCGGGTGTTCCTGGGATGATGACATTGTCAGCCAAAAGTACTGTCCCCTTCCGCAGCAGGCCACATTCCTACAGAGGATAGACAGATGGAGTAATGAACCTATTAAACTATGGAGCCAGGAAAATTCACCCCAAACCAGGTGCTCCTCCCCAAGATGCTGCTTCATGCACTGACCTGTGCCTCACCCTGGGGACCAGGTCAGGTCTCTCTCACTCCCTCATTTTCTCCCCAGAGCAACCAGTGTCAGAAAGGGTTATATTAGGTCCTAGTCCTGTGTCTGGAACATCAGCTTTCTGAAATGATGGGACCTTGGAACTTTTTGATCCTCCTTTCTTTTTCTTTCTTTCTTTTTTTTTTTTTTGTTCATGGTACTGGAGATCAAATCAAGGGCCTTACATATACTAGGTAGATGCTCTACCACTGAACCACATCTCCACACTTCCATTCACTCCTATATCCAACTCAGTCCCTAGAAAAACATGTGACACACAGCAATAAATCCCCATCAATAAATGYTTACTGGATGAGGAAGAAGAGGAAATGCTGGAACCAGAGCATGCTCCTGAGATAACTAGTTCTAGGAACACAGGCCCCTACAAGGGAGAGGAGCCCTAGGCAGCTTAGGCTGCTGATACAATCATCACAGATAAGAGCTGGTGACCCTGCAGGATTGGGGGRCAAGTTGATCTTGCCACTGACAAGCCTACCCACTTCTCTGGATATCCCAAGGTTCCTGCCTTTGCAGATCTCTATTCCACCAATATTGGGGATGTGGGAAGATACAGGACTGTCTGCAGGATGAAGGAGTCATTATTGAACATGCTGTGACAGGTGGTTGCCACCCAGGGTCTGCAGTCAGATGAAAAACTTAAGCAAAAAAATGTTTTGTTTAAGCTGGGAGGTAGATCTGCACACATCAGAAAAATAAATATATAAATATTTATAAATAATAAAAAAGAAACCTGAGTGGAAGTGTATCCTGGTGGGGAAAGAGGCTGTGAAAAAGGTTCCCCAGACACATCTTGGAGTTGAGTTTGGAAGCATGGAAGGTTGTTGGTTTTTTGTCTCCCTCACCCTCCCCACATAATTACAAAATAAAAGTTAAAAAGCAATTTTAAACATTGAAAGGAAAAACAAGCAACCCAGATTGGAGTACTGCCCAGGCCTGGGTTTTATCCCTTGTACTGTAAAACAACAACAAAGCCAGCATAATGGGCACACACCAATAATTCCAATGACTTGAAAGGCTAAGGCTGTAGGATCACAAGTTTGAGGCTAGCCTGGGAAACTTGGCAAGACTCTTATCTCAAAAAGGGATGGGAATGTAGCCTGGTGGTAGAGCACTTGCCTAACATGTGTGCGCCTCCGGGTTCAATTTTGCCAAAACAACAACAAAGATAAGTGACCTTGGGTATCTCAAATCAGAGGCAGGAGGGGGTCTCTCACTTGAAAATGACAGATGTCACTCTGCACCTCTGCAGGGATGTGCTGCCCTATGTTCAATAGCCACACAGCATTTTCAGCTGTGGAAGTGGTGGAGGGCAGTCTTTTTCAGCCTGTTGGCAGTGGGAGAAAGCCAAGGGAGCCCTCAGGCTACAGTAGTAGAGGACATAGTTGTAAGGTCACTTAGGTCAGGGGACAACCCCATGATCTGGAATTTGCAAAGGAAGTACACTATCAATCATGATGTATTTTCTCTTAGGGGGAAAAAAAAAAGAATGTCCTAGCAAAGTTAGCTGAAAATATCTAGAACAAAGAACTACTCAGAAGGAGGGCACCTGTGCTAAGGTACCAAGAAAGGGCAGGAAATATACAAGATGAGCAGGAAGCCTGGGCCCCTAGAGTTTTAGGGTCAAGCAGAGACTCAGGGGTCAACCTCAAGAGATACAAGCTAACCTTTAGTAAGACCAATGATACCAAAATTTCATGAGTTCATCATGTCATAAAGGAAGAGTGAAGTGTTGGTCACCTTTGGAGGTGCTAGGGCCCAATGTCCTTTAAGAAACTGGTCAAGAAAAAAAAAGGCTACGATTGTAGCTCAGTAGTAGAGCACTTGCCTAGCAAATGTAAGGCATTGGGTTTAATCCTCAGTACCACATAAAATAAATAAAATAAGGGAATCGTGTCCATCTACAACTAAAAAAAAAAAAAGGCGTCTCTCGCCCTCTAATTTCTGAGTTTAGAGAAAGCCAGCCATCATGTTGGGATTTTCAACCAGCCCTATGGAGACATGCATATCATAAGGGCCTGCAGCCTCCTCCTCCAAGCAGCCACATGATTTTGAATTGTCACCTGTCCCTAAGCCCTTTGTTCCTCTGATGCTTACAGAACCAACTAAGCAGAGGGGATGGCTGGGCCTCCACATTTCAGATTGGCCCTGACCCTGCACAAGCCAGGGGGCAAGAGTCTATATGCTTAAAAAGTACAGCCATTCCCAATTCATGCCTTCTCTTCTTTTGAGATAATTACCAGCTTTGAACAGCAGCACTGAGAAAACTATTACTTTCCTAGTTAATAAACTGCAATATTCATATTTTTCCAAAAGCAGGCCCCTGTAATTGATCACACACTAAGTACTGCTGAAATCCATTCCCTGTAATGCAGACCTCCCCATGGTATGTCTCTCCTACTCAAGTAAGGCTCCTCTGATTGATTGCCTGCTCTCTGCCTTCAATATCCAATTTCTTCACCCTTTGCCACAGGTGGGCTTCCTATACCCAGATGAAGTCTCTGAAGCTACCCTATCCTGGCCTGCAGGTCCCTTCCTGTTCCCCACTGCTTGCCCCCCCTTTGCAGGTACTCTGGTCCAAATTCCAGTTACTTCCTAACCTCTTGAATTGCAGGGCTTAGAACTTCCAAAATGCCTTTGAGCAGTCTCTGAAATGCCCTCCCAATGTCACCCCTCTCTATGTCCCATAGGGCCAACAGGGGTCCTTTCAGATGCTCAAAGCCTTCCATGTCTCAGAACACACTGTGCCCTTTTAGGCCTCTGCTAGTGTTGGCCCCTTCCCATCTGCATCCAGGTCACAATGGCACTGCCCTGCTAGGGCTTGGTGACCAAGCCCCCCATACTTGGGGTCCTGCTGCACAAAGCAGGGTATCCAACTGCTAGGACAACTGCAGAAGAACAACAAATAGAGGAACAATATGGGACAACCCCATGCTGGTTACACYACGCAAGGAGGTCAGGACAGGGCCAAGGAGCTCCTCAGTGTCTCCTAATAGGCCACCCAGGAGGGCCAAGATAAGTATATCCCCAATGGAAGCCCTTTAAAAGTTAGTTCATTAGGGGTTGTCCAATGACCCAAGTCCTAGCCACTTAGGGAGCAAGGATGTCCATTCCCAGTCACTTGCAAGGTGAGTCTGGGTGAGTAGCAGCAGCACTGAGGGCTGGGAAGAGTCTGGGAGGAGCCCGAGGGAATCAGGGATTGTACAATAGAAACTTCGAGAGACAGATTTTTTTTTTTTTTTTTTTTTTAGCTTTAGGTGGACACAATATCTTATCTATTTTTATATGGTGCTGAGGATCAAACCCAGTGCCCCACGAATACCAGGCGAGCGCGCTACTACTTGAGCCACATCCCCAGCCCAAGAGATAGATTTTTAAGGACACACTGGTTTCCCCAGAGCCAATACCAACAGATACCCAATTGGCAAAGTGGCCATGGCCCCTAGAGCTGCTCTTCCTGTTTCCTCAGCTTTGTGCCCTTTCCACCTGGGCTTTCTGGCCCCTATTTTCCCAATGCAGGCAATCTGACCCCCATGCTTCCAATGGGTTATTTTACCTGATCCCTGATCCAGCAACCCCTTTCCTCCTATCTCCACCTGCCTCAGGGCCTCCATGGTTGTTTGCTTTCCCTGACCTTAGGTGGCACCCTAGGTGTAATTCAATGCCTATTATAATTTGGATATGGAATGTCCCCCAAAGGTTTGTGTGTTGAAGGCTTGGTCCCCAACTGGTGGCACCACTGGCAAGTGGTAGAAACTTTAGGAGGTGGAGCCTAATTGGAGGAAGCAGATAACTGGGGCTGTGTCCTTCAACAAARTATCTTTCCCCAGCCCCTTCTCCCCTTTTCTCTTTCTTTCCCACTCCACCAAAGTGCTCCCCTTTATGATGTTCTGCCTCATCACAGGCCTAGAATCAATAGAGCCAAGTGATCATGGACTGACACCTCTGAAATTGTGAGCCAAACTAAAATCTTTCCTCCTCTAAGTTGGTTTTCTCAGGTATTTTGTCACAGTGTTGGAAAACTGACTGACATAGTACCCAAAGCTGTCTATGTCCCCTGGACTTCCCCCAGCAGGATATGGCCAGGGTACATGGATCTTCAGAGGCAGAGGTCAACCGACCTGGTCAGTTGGTCCCAGTAGCCCCTGAAGCAGCAGTCAACCTAGGAGCCTGTTCTAGTGAGGCATGTGTAACTCACCTCCAGGAGGAGTGTGTCTGGCAGGTATCGGTCCTTCCAGTGGTCAAGGAAGACCATGTCCAGTGTGTCCACATCATACTTCTTCTTCAGCTGAGGGATGAGGTCATGGGATGCCCCAACCAGGACAGTGACCTAGAACAGTATATTGGTGCTGTGCCCTGAGAACACATAAGAGCTCCCTACCCCAATCCCTGCAACCACCCCACCAGACACCACAGATTTTGTCTCCCATTAGTTTTCTTTCATATTATGGGGTTTTGCCTGCTCCCTCCTGGGGAAGCCTTGGGAATTTCCAAGCAATACCACTCTTCCAAAGCTGCTGGGCATTCCTTTCATGACCCCAGACTTGGAAAGTACCAAGAAGCCCAGGCAAAGCATGTGTTCAATGCATGAATCAATTTTGTGTGTGCCCTAGGCACTCCCCACCTGTTCACCTTCCCCTTTAAAGTCTCAATGTCCACATCTGTCACTTATGTCAGGCATGCCTCACCTTGTCCTGCAGACCTGCAAAATCTACCATCTGCTGAGTGATGGCAGCAAAGTCAGGGTTCATCTCCATGGTGAGCAGTCGTGCACCAGTTGGCAGCAGGCGAGCCATGCGCACAGCTGAGTAGCCACAGTAGGCCCCCAGCTCCAGCACAAGGGAGGGGCTGTGCTCCTGAATCACGGCATCCACAATCTGGCCTGTAGAGCAGTTGGGGAGTATGTAAGTGAGGCTGGACAAAGGGGAACTTAACTCCTACTCATAGGTTCCACCTCTCTCCAGACCAAGCAACAGGTCCCTCTTTCCTCCCCACCCTCCCTAACCATTGCTGGAGAGGATCTTTTACTTCCCCAAAGTCCCCAGCTCTGAGGACCTGTCCTCACTGCACATATTCTTAGAACTTCCTCTAGGTCCTCCAGGCTTCTATGCCTTTGCACCCACCAGTCCCTCTTTTTCCTACCCTCCCTGGCTCCCTCAAGATTTATACAATCTAAGGGGGATGGACAGGGGCTGGGAAGTCTTGTCCTCAGGGCTCAGTTCCAGGAGGTAAAGCAGAACACACATCTGTGCCCTGAGCTAGAGTCCAAGAGCAGGGGAGGTGCCTGGAGAACCTGACTGACTGGTTCCTAGGCAGGTCCCATGACACTGTGGGACAAAGTCAAGGGAAGCTGCACCACTCTTATTGTCTGAGTGTAGGGTCCTGAATGTAATTCCTGCTGTGGCCTTCTTAAGTAATGGGATTATGAGGAGTCACTAGGGACTGGTGTCCATGGAGACATCTATGGTAGGGACTTTGCAGAACCTGACTCCTACCCCTACGTCCCTGGACAATGACTTTCCCTGGCTGGCTCTCTCCTTACAAAGCACATTTTGGAAAACATCTCTCCTCACTGGAGCAATAGTCTGGGTGCAGAGTCCGGCAATGGGTGTCCAGGTCTCTGAACARTCTTTGCCCCGGGTCAGGGAGCAACAAGCAGGGTCCTGTGGCTCAGTGTCCTGACGAGTCTCCCATTCCCACCTGAACACGTTCCAGGGCTCCCAAACCCAAACCACCCACCCCCTTAACAGGATTCTCCTGTAGAGGCAACAGTGCTGACTGACCAGGGTTCTGCCTGCTAGAGAGGTCACCTACCTTTCCTATCACCCACATTCATGGCCCACTCTTTCTGTGTGCAGTAAGTATCAATGGCTTCCAGCACACTCTGGGGGTCTCCAGGCTTTGCATTCTGCTGCACGTGGCGGAGGATACGCTGCTCCTTAGTGTCACCCATGATCAGGTTGCGGACTGGCTGCAGGACCCACTCAAGCCAGAAGATGACTAATAATCCCCAGCTCAACCGGTATCTCCGTAATAGCAGCAGGACTAGCAGCACAAGGCCCAATGAGGCAGCTGCCAACAGCAGAAGAAGGACTCCCAGCATCTGCAAAGGCGGAGCTTGGTGAGGGAGGGGGCGGGGCAGCAGGGTAAAGGAAGTCCACAGAAGGGAACAGAGAAGGGAGTGAGCAGAGAGGGAGGGGCTTAAGTGTTCTGTGCTTTTCCTGACTCACCACCCTGTCCTCAGTGGAGGGCCAAAATTCAGAGAAACAATGTTGCATGCCTTGGTTGCCTCAGTGCCAGGGAAGCTCACCACCCTACCCCTCTAACATCTGTAAAGAAACAGAGAGGATGCACATGTTCCTCTGGTAGTCCTGCATGGAGACCTGTCCAGGCAGAACTCCCTGTCTGGATCCTTCCCAGTGAAGGAGTTAAGGACAGGCCATCTCAGAATATGCTGAACTGTCATTAGTTCAAAATGAAAGAAGAACTATGACTGTAGGAAGGGCCTTGTGGCCCTTTTCCTACATGTAGCAGCCCATAAACATTTATTGGGCTAGGTGAGGTGGTGCATGCCTGTAATCCAGCAGCTAGGAGGCTAAGGCAGGAGGATCTCAAGTTCAAAGCCAGCCTCAGCAACTTAGTGAAGTCCTAAGCAACTCAGCAAGACCCTGTCTTTAAGTAAAATATAAAAAAGGGCTAGGGATGTGGCTCAGTGGTTAAGTGCCCTTGTGTTCAACCCCTAGTACAAATAAATAAATAAATACATACATACATACACACATACTCTCCACCGCCGCGCCCCCGAGAGAGTAACTTGGGGCTGTGATGAAGCTAAATAAAACTTAGACTACCCCCCCATGTATCTCTAAGTGATATCCCTAGAATTTACTATTCAAGTCAGAGATCATAAAATTTCTTACAAATTTATCATTGTCTAAAGAAGCATGAAAATATCATGTTTTGATCATGTCTTTGCACTTGATTGTTGTGTGGAAATTCCCAATGTGCATGTAAAATTAATAAAACTTGTGCAATTTTATCTTGTTATTCAGCCTTGTATTAGTTACATTCCACCCAGCTGAACCCAGCTAAACAGCAAACATGCTCTAAGGGAGGGTACAAGAATCTCTCCCTTCCCCGCATCAGAGGGACTGGGATGGGGGTGTGTGTGTGAGGCAACCTGCCCGACTGAGGTAGGGAACAGCTTTAGTCTACTGACCCTCTAAAACCATGCACAAGGGCTAGGGATGCAGCTCAATGGTAGGGCACTTGCCTAGCATGTGTGAGGCCCTGGGTTTGATCCCTGCACTGTAAAAACAAAAACATGATACAGAAGTAAATATAGACCAAGGTTGTCACCTCCTGGCACCTTAGAAGACAACACAGGTCTAGGAAGGCTCCACAGCCTGGAGTACAGGCAAGGAAGTGTTAAGGGTTAGGAGAGGTTACAAGGCACAGAGGAGGCCACACACTTTGTGGAGCCCCCTTGGCCCCACCAGGGAAGCCTTCACTGGACACTCATAGTCCGCACAGCCAACAGATTTACATGACCCTTTTTGTCGTTGCTAAGAATTGAACCCAGGGGTCTTACATATGCCAACACATGCTCTAGTGCTATCACTGAGCTCCATTCCCCCAGCCCCCATTGTGTGGCCCTGTATTTCCGGGTAAAGAGAGAGGCAGTGCCCAGGCTGGATACACAAAGACAACCATTCTCCTCATGGAGTACTGTTCCAGAGGGAGAAAGGTTGGCCCTGTATGCCCACACCACAAGGTAAGTGAGACATGCAAAACCATATCTGTTGACCACAAGAGTGGCATGATAAAGCTGAGCGTAGTGGCGTATACCTGTAATCCCTGCATCTTGGCAGGCTGAGACAAGAGAATAACGAATTCAAAGGCAGCCTCAGCAAAAAAGCAAGGCACTAAGCAACTCAGTGAGACTCTGTCCCTAAATAAAATACAAAATAGGGCTAGGGATGTGGCTTAGTGGTAGAGCTGCCCTGAGTGCCTAAAAAAAAAAAAAAGGCACAATGAAATCTGAAATCATGGCAAATGGCTCCACTTGAAATCCATAGAGTTGAGTTCACAATGTTCAGAGCAAAGGCCCATCATTTCAGGCCAGAGATTGTAACATAAGAAAGAGAAATCTGCCAAGCTTCCCTCAGGGTCCCTATAGTCACTCACAGGTCTTTCTGGGATGGGGCCTGGGAAACCCTTGCAACTATACAAAATCCAGTTTTCTACTAAAAGCACAGAAAGGCACATCCAAGAGGGAAAAGGAGTCAGGCCCAGGACCTGCTTCCTCTCTCTGTAGGGAGACTGCTTGAGGACATTTTCAGGGCTTTAAACCCCAGGATCACTGGTGGGGAAAAGGACTCAGAAGATAGAGCAGAAAATAAATAGAAAAGCTGAGGCTCGGGCTGGGGATGTGGCTCAAGCAGTAGCGCGCTTGCCTGGCATGCATGTGGCCCAGGTTCGATCCTCAGCACCACATACAAACAAAGATGTTGTGTCCGCCAAAAACTAAAAAATAAATATTAACATTTTCTCTCTCTCTCTCTTTAAAAAAAAAAAAAAAGAAAGAAAAGCTGAGGCTCTGCCTCAAGCGGGGATAGTATGGGCACCTAGACTTCTAGGTAGTCTCAGGACATAAAGCCAATTTACACTGAACACATGCTAGACCTGAATCCATCCTGCCCTCTTCCATCAGCCAAATGATCTTCAAAGCTGTTTCAAATAGCTCCTGTTCTCACAGCTGTGGAAAGGGTCTAGACTCTATTCTCTGAGCTTACCAGCCAAGCAGATATTTGTGTGGAGCTCAGTTTTGTTTTTGGATAATCAATCATTAACAGAAACCTTAATCCAGAAATTATCAAGGTCCAACTATCCAAGCCCCTTCCCCATAGGCCAGCCTCGCCCAGGCCTTCCCCATCTTGCTGAAGGTAGCAATTCACCTTACCAGCCTCAGAAGAGACAGTAGAAGGCCTCAGAGAGGTAATGGTAGAGTGTCCCCCAACCAGGGACTCTGTAGAAGTCTCTCTGATTGTTATCTGCACCGCCCTGTGAGTTATGGTGGTACATGAAACCGAACCTTAGGAAAAGCAGGAAAAAGGAACCATTTTGCCCGGGCCATATTTTCCCCAGGAGATCAGTGATAAAACTTGGAAATTACACATAAGATGGAGGGCTAGTTACAAAGAATACATATAAATCAATAAGAAAGAGATGATCTAGGGCTGGGGATATAGATCAGTTGGTACAGTGCTTGCTTCACATGCACAAGGCCCTGGGTTCAATCCCCAGCACCACACAAAAAAAAAAAAAAGAAAGAAAGAAAGAAAGAAATGATCTAAGAGAACAATGGGCCAGCATGACCAATGCACAGCTTACAGAAAAAAGGCCCAGAAGCCTGGAACAAGCAGGGCAAACCAGATGCAGGTCTTGCAGACCACCTGGGGTTGGCCCCGGTCCTGTCCACTCATGAGGAGGTATGAATCATGCCATCCTGGATATCAAAGGACACTGTGCAGACATTAGTCACTGTCTATAGAGTTTTTAATTGCCCAGGAGTTCTGGGCAAGAGGTTGGGCTATAACCCAGGCCTGATTACAACTTCTTCTTCTTCCCCCTGACCCTGCCCTTCCTTTTTCTTCTCCCTCTCAGTAGTGTGTGTGTGTGTGTGTGTGTGTGTGTGTGTGTGATTAAACCCAGGGCATTCATCACCAAGCTATTACCCCAAGACTTTTTATTTTTATTTTGAGACAGGGTCTTGCTAAATTGTCCAGGCTGGCCTTGAATTTGCAATCCTCCTGCCTTAGTGTCCCTAGTCAATGGGATTAACAGACATGTACAACTGAACCTGGTTCCGCATTATACCTTTAGTTATTACAAGAGCATGAAAAATATAGAAGGTCACTGCACAGTGTAATTCCAGCTACTGGGTGAGCTAAGGTAAAACAGAATTTGTACCTCCCCCCCCACACACACCAATTAAGAACTTCTGCTGAAAGAAGGAAGCTAAAGGACTGTGACCCTTGACCCTGACAGGTGCCAAAGAAGATGGGAGCAGAGATTGCCCATTATGGCCTGAAAGATTAGCTAAACCTACATATGTATATAACCTGGCTTTTGTTTCTATAAGTAATTGCTTTTGTGGGGTCAGTGGGGAGAAGCTTCCAACTGGATTGCTTATCCCCAGTTTGACATCTTTTGCCTAATTTTTACACAGGTGGGAAGCTAAATCCAGCCATCTAGGATCCAGGCAGATCTACTGAYTACAGAGGGAGGAGGATGGCAAGTTTGAGGCCAGCCTTAGCAACTTTATAAGATGCTGTCTCAAAAATAACAAAATAAAAAGGGCTAGGGATGTTGCTCAGTGATAGTGCCTCAATCCCCAATTAAAAAAAATTTTTTTTTAAATCACAAGGACATATTTGCAGAAAAAGAGAAATCTGCCTGAAAGTCCCATGGAATCAAGGGACCCTGAATAGCCAAAACAATCTTGAAAAAGAAAAACAAATTACAGGATTTACACTTTCATATTTAAAACTCACTATAAGACTTGGGGGTGCAGTTCAGTGGTAGAGCTCTTGCCTAGTATGTATAAGTCCTTGGGTTCAATCTTCAGTACTGCAAAAATAAATAAATAAAATAAAACTCACTACAAAGCTACAGTAATTAAAATACTATGGTAGTGGCATAAAGACAGACATATAAACCAATGGACTAGAACCAAGTCCAGAAATAAACCCTCATCTATAGTCAACAAAGGTGCCAAAACCAGTCAGCGGGAAAAAAGTCTCTTCAACAAATGATGCTGAGACAAATGATACCACATGCAGAAGAATAAAGTTAGATTCTTATGTCATATCATATGCAAAAATTAAATAACAACAATAACAACAAAAACTCAACACTCAAAATGGATGAAACATCCAACTTTAAGGGCTAAAACTATAAAGCTCAGAATAAACTATAGACATAAGCGACTTTGGATTTGGTAGTGGATTCTTATATGTGACACCAAAAACACAGGCAACAATCAAAAAATAAGTTGGACCTTAATAAAATTAAAAACTTTCCTGCATCAAATCACTAAAA